TTGTATCAGTGTAAACAAAAGACAATTGCAATTATTTTCTGTCAAGGCTTGCATTCAATTTTTTTTACTATATCTGCGTGTAAACAGTAGCTTACAATTCTTAATGGTCAATTATTGCGATTAATTTATTGCATTCAATTATTGCTCTTGTATGTACATGAAAATGGCATCGTGTAAATGGGCCTTTATTGACAAGCGAAAAGCAGGTTCTCCTGATATTACAACCGCAGTAACCTCAGTCCACCATCATCATTTCAGCCTGTTCCAGCTCACTGCCGAATACAGACTTCCCCACGGCCTGCAATGAAGCACGGTTCTGGGCCACCTGCATCCATGGGCTACCCGCACATTTGCTCAGGTCACTCCATCTAGTGGAGCCTCCGTCTTTGGACATCAAAAAAAATTAGAGAGATTGCAAATCCGTTGACAACTTTTTATAAAATTGGGTTCCAGCAACATCCCTCACCAGACGAAACCGCCAAAGTCTAATGCATTCGCATCACGCACGTATACTGTAAGGTCGTGCTACTTCCCCAGATGAAGCTGGCCTTTCGTACAACAACAACTGCCAGGTCACGTACAAGTTAGCAGCGTTGTTGTTCGTCACCTACCCTATTTATGTAAAAAAACACAAACTTTGCGTATAATGGAACATCGCTGTGATTTTGTGTTCTTAACTTTTACAAAATGCTTATATAAAACATGTGTAATAAAATATGTGTCGTACACATAAAATGGACTGGAATGTGTCCTGGAGTGTGTCTATTAAGGTGAAAATACGATTTATTTTTTCATAGAGCAGATTTTAATCCTACCCTGATATTGTAATTTATCACAAGAAGGCGCTGAAGTGTTTCATATTCTATACCGCTCAACTAGTTAGACATCTGCCGGGTTCTAATAGTGCGTCATTATATGTATTTATGCTCAAATTAATATGCCTACTATATATCATGATATAATGTATAACTGGCTTCGGCACCGCGGGTGGTGGGTTTGATTTCCACAATGAATTCCGATTTCCGGATCTGGGTGTTCGTTCCTACTTCGGCGGCAGACGGCTGTTCGTATAAAGGAATAAGCAATAGCACTAACAACATTATTCATTTCTATTTTTCGAAGCTACTTATACTTCTTGTGGCGCGTTTGGTAAATATTATAAGAGTAAAATCTTACGATGCGCGCGCACATCGACTGCGATGTGATGAAGTTGGTAGCAAAGCGACCAACTTCAACAACTCCACGGTATTACTGTAGTCCTGGGCTTATAGAATAGGACTATCTCCTGCCCGTCGTAAAAGATGACTTAAAGAGGACACGGATTGGCAGCAGCACGAAGTGGTCTCGAGCTACTGCAAGATGCTGGGGAGGGTTTATCCTCCTCCGAGGCCTACTCACGCGCAGTGCCGAGGGACACCAGTGCGTTTCGTAGGAGATCCTGGTGTCCCTCCAAACGTACAAAAGGTGGTCACCGAGGGGTTTTAGTGGGTAAGAACCCCAAGTATCCCGTTATGACAGGGTATCTTTTGAAGATCTTTCTCTTTTTTTTGGTATCTGGAGGACCAGATACCAAAAAAAAACTAGGTATAAAATCTTTTTGACATTCACCTATAATAATATTCCATGTTATTTAATTAAACTGTTATCAATTGCATTTAATGTCTTTTTTACAAAAGAACAGTACTGACAGAAGGGATAATTTTGTTTATTATTTTTCTTTTATTAAGCTAAATACCTTCTTGTATCTTGTATTAACTGATGTTTTTGCTTTCAGTCCCGAGACTATTAAAGCTTCATCTGACGCAGAACTACAAGCTAGAACCCACGGGTTTGAACCCTCCGATGTGGGTAAGGCCGCGCATGTGCGCATGCGTGCGTTTAACTATGGTATGTCATCTAAGGGCCATCGAGTTTGCGGTTCGGACCGGGACCCCAATGGTCGTAGACTGTGTTTTTAGCTAATCGGTGGCTGGGGACGGTGAGAACCACCCTGGAACGTGGGTGTACCTTGTGTAGGCGTTGTGTTGGTCGCCGTTCGCAGTGACGAGGGTGAACTATTGTGTTTGTTGTTACACTAGCTGTAGGTGTAGTGTTATCCGACGGGACCCCCGATGGTGGGTCCGACGTATCTAAGTCCCCTTCCTCGAACTTTTTACGTGCGTACATTCTTGCGTACACACATTTTTTTACGGCTTTTTTTTAAATAATTGCCCTTACTGTAGGATAGTATTATCCTTATTTGTAAGAACGTTTTACAAACATAAATTTCACGTGGAATAGCACCCAGATCTAAAACAATTATCTGTTTGTCCCACAAATGGATGGAAGATGGAATCGAACCCAAGACTCTTGGCGCTGAAGCCAATACCAAGGTAACTGCACTATGGAGTCATTTCTTTCTAAAGATTCGCTTTTAAAGACTTTCTCAAAGAGGTGGAAAAGCAAGACACTTTGTATCAATAATTAATGTACAGATTTTTTTTTACTTTAAATTTGTCCAAGATTAACTTGCTTTGTATTTGATCGTCTAAGAGTGCAATGTTTTCAACTTACAATTTAACTTCACACTCCAAAACGTTCATACGGGATGATGGAAAATGCTTGCGATCCAAACTATACAACATTCTAAATTACACTCGCTTAACATACATCCTGGTGACGTTTTAACGGAAGACAACAGTAGGTGGAATTCCAGTCTTCCTCTATACTTATAGATAACAGCTCCAAATATAGGTGAAAATTGTTGTTAATTGCGTAAAGGGCGAATTTTATTTAGATTGCTAAATGACTAGGTAACACAGTTGCTTGTGGGTCCGATTTCCCCACGGAACAAATGTGTGTGAACCAGAGTTAATTGTTCCGGATCTGGGCATTTGTTACCAAGGAGGATGGACGTCAGGTAGGCCGGTCATAAAAAATCTAGCCAATAGTATTAGCAACTTGATTCACATGTGGTGCCGACTCCATCTAGGTGTGGTAAGGGCAGGAGAAAAAAGAAGAAGACTGTTCAAAGGGTAAACGTTCTTTTATCGTAGACAACTCGACATGCACAACATTTTTATTGACGCATTAATAGGAGAAGGTGACAAACGTGTGGTTCACACCTCACCCACCTCATATTAAGTTATTACCACTGCCAGACATCCACAACACCTGTGGGCTTTCGGTACTATTTCCAAAAGTGGCAAAAGTACAAACTATAGTTTCTGCTGGTAACTTGTGATATAGCAGGAACTGCTGTATAGCCAAGGAGGCTATAACTTATATTACCTTTTTTCTATCCACATTAATATTATAAATGCGAAAGAGCTCTGTCTGTCTGTCTCGCTTTCACGCCAAAACTACTGAACCGATTTAAATGAAATTTGGTACACAGATAGTCTAGAGCCTGAGAAAAGACATAAAATATTTATATATTGGAAATTATTTTTAAAGAAAGATATTTATTTAAGAGCTTCAACGCGAGTGAAGCCGCGGGCGAAAAGCTAGTCTGTCATAAATGAAGAAAAATAATGAGTAAAAGCTCGAAACATTTGGTGAAAAGCGACACTCAATTGTTTGCCTCAACCTTCCACCTACAACAATTTACAAACATAAAAGTGGAGGTGTGTGTACAGATAAATGAATGGATACATACATAAATACCTGTTCGTGCTTTTTTTTCGATTTCCCGATTTCATTAAATTTCGATTTTATGCCGTGCCCTATAATTTAATTAACTTTACATTCCGGTGACTTAAATCTTAATCATTTTCTTATAAAGATAAAGTTTACCACGTCAAGAAAGTCGATTTTAAATCTAGAGTTCAGTATAAAGATATGTGTTATACTAACTCAGTAAATATAAATATAATTTTATCAATGGGTGTAAATTTTACGTTGCTATCCCCTTCCTACTAGTTGAAAGCCACAAAATAGGCAGCTTTTAAAAAATATATAAACAACTACTAACTTTCAGTTTCTGAATAGTTAATACATAGTTTGCGAATAAACACGTTTTATCAAACCGATTTTTCTTCTCCTCACAATGGAGAGTATTGGTGTCAAAAATTCGAGATATAACTTAAATATTCTTTAACACACTATATTCACAAAATTTCGTAAATACTTTTTCTTCGTATAAATTATTAAAATATGTACTAGCTGCTGCCCGCAACTACGTCTGCGTAGAATAGGCTGAAGGTGTAAAATTCAGACAGAAGGTCAGATATACATAATATAATTTATAGCCTATGTCTTATTCTGGCGTATAAGCTATATCATTGTAAAGTTTCATTAAAAACAATCAATAGTATTTGCGTGAAAGAGTAACAAACAACCATCCATATACAAAAACTGTCGCGTTTGTAATATTAAGTAAGGAAGTAGGGATTTGAGTATTACTGTAATTAGTTCAATAATATTATAATTTTGCATTAATTAAATTATTATAATTACGATTTGGGTTTTTATGTTCTGTGACAATAACAACAAAACTTTAGCGCTGTCTTCAATATACATGTTGTGTACACGTCTTTTCTTTACGGAATACTTAATTTTGAGTCATAAAGCCTTGGCATTTAACGGTGGCTAGACTGTCAAGAGCCAAGAAATAATAATAGCGAAAGCTTGATAACATTAACATGAACTGTACACAAAATAATAAAATCCGCAAGTTTATCAAATACTTTATTTAGGATTTTTTAATCATATGCGAATAACTTAATAAGTCTCTCGTAGTTAATTTATATAACAACCTAAATATTCTAAATGCTAAATATTCGCAGGTAAAGCCGCAAGTAGAGTATTTATACAGGTGGAGCTTCCAATCGTATAAGAGTTCAACGTAATGTCAAACACCTATCTATATCAGAAATAATTTTACATCTAAATTTAAACCGTGCATAAGAATTCACAACACAGCGCGCGAGACAGTGAGATAGTGCGAGTCTCTGTTTCCTTGCCAATTGCTGCGACATTGTATCTATTGACACGCACCGCTGTACGCTTATCGGCGACTATTTTGAGTGGGGAGCGGCACACGTGGTGACGCGGGTCCGCTCGCCCTGGGCCCACTCAATGAGGAGCCTGCCCCCATTGGGGACCACGTCGGCACCGTCGGCGACGCCGGGGCGACCCACGGCACATATCGCATCACCGCCCGCCCGCAATTTCGCGTAAAATTGGCAGCATGCGGCGGGCGGGCGGCGGCGGCGGCGCGGTGCGTCGCTCCCGAAATAGTGTTCGGGCGCGGTCGTGTGCCGTCGGGTGCGGCGCCCCAGTCGCCGTGTGGCCGCGCGCGCGCACCCGCGTCGTCCCGCCAGCCGCCTCGACGCCGCACGAATAACCGAGTGAGGAGCTCGCTCGCCGGTGCGCAGCTCCACGGTGCGCGTATTTCGGTCGCGAGGAGGCCCCGGGCCGCGTCGGGCGCGCTGCCCGCGCGCTGGCCGCCGTGCTCTGGTGGTGCGTGGCGCTGCTGCGGCTGGTCGTGCTCTGCGCGCCTCCCCCCGGCGAGCCGCCGCCCCCCGCGCGCGCCGCGGAAGATGCGCCCGAGGCGCCCGCGGCGGCCGCCTGCGCGAGCGCGCCTCCACCATCCAACGCCACCGAGCCGCCGCCACCCGCGGCCGAACCGCCCGCGCACACCGGTCGGTATACCCACACGCTAACTGCTGAAACGGCGGCAGACGCCCCCTCTCGGTGCCGCGTGCGGATTCATTCATTCTAACCTCTTACCCCCGTTCTGCTAAACAACTCGTAGCAAGCTTTCGCATAGACTTTGCCGTTACAAATATTACATTGTGAAGGTCAGTGCATTACCTTCGGTAAAATTTTAATCGAACAACTTTGGGAGATCTAAACAGAAAACGTCGCTTCGTTCCAATATTAAGATTGAAAAAAATATTTACTATTTAGGTACATAACAATTATTATTAACAATAAAATAATATTGGCTAATATTTTCTTATACAACATTCATTTAATAATTGTGTATTATATAAAAATATAATATAAACAAAATGCTTCTATCCGCTTTACAATTACGAAAATGTTTTTGACGAAATGTTTTTTTAATGTTTATCAAACAAGTTTATCAACGAATAAATTTGCTACCTTTAACTCGTAACCAGTGTGTAGCCAGACTCGATCCTAAAATCAATACAGACCTCCGCCCTCCCCGCCCACACAATCGTTGATTTTTATCCCCTTCAGTTACTTTGAACTTAAAAGAGCAGCACCTCTCAAAAAAAACACAAACCTGAATCGATTATTAATAAGGAAAACGGGTAACATAAGCAATATTGTATTAACCAAAAATGTGGGAGCTTAATATAATGCAAAGACTGTAGGTTGTACTTATGTATGTAGCTCATTCAGGCGAAAGTGCCAAGCTACCAGAGTGTGCTATGACATACGACATATTTACACAACACTCCATGCAACTTAACTTTAGGCCAACCTCAATGTGAACCAACATTGTTTTGCCACGCTTCTGGGAATCCTGCACAGCTGCCGTTTTATCGCGCTGACTGGTCAAGATGACAACAAACACACGATAGAAGACTAAACGTAAATAATAAGAATAATCAATAGACGCACGCCTTAGTGTTAAATCAGGCCAACCACTAGTGACCAACATAGACCAATAAGTATATAATACAAATAAGTATATTTGAGGAATATGAATATTTTTTTTACGAAAAAGCAAATAGGCACTTTTAAGTGTACAAGAATTTAATTAAATTAGGTAGTTAAATTATTATTAATTATTAATATGGTGAGATAAAAAAAAATTGTGCGTGGAGTCCCTCCGCCCGAAAGAAGTGAAACTTCGTAATGTGGAAATGAAAATAGGAAGGGGTAAAAATTGATTTTTAGTGAAATCATATTGTTTCTTTAAGACAAACTTTATTTTTTTGCTTACAATTGATCGCATCTTTTAAAAATAATGTTGTGAAAACTAAAGATGGTAGAGTAATAAAATTAAGAACATCATGAAATAAAAACCCTCCACCCAACTCATATTTATTTTATCGTGTCTCTTCGCCTGTCAGGGCAAAAAGGCTTAATACCAAAAACGACTCCGTACAATGATATCACGTTGGTAGAGCCACGCAGCAGCCTCGGCTGTTGCACGAATGGGCAGGCTCGTCCGGGTAAGTACCACGACCTCACAGAAGACCGGCGTAAAGTGGAAGTATGAGAAATACTTTCGCATTTCGTCTGGTGACTGAGGTAGCCGGAGCCCAATTTCCAAAAAGGTTGTCAAAACATCTGCAAACCCTGCGGTGTAGCAGATGTTCATGGGCGGCGGTATTCACTTAACATCAGGTGAACCGTCAGCTCGTTTGGCAACTGATCACATAAAAAAAAAATTTTCACGAGTAGCTTTCGCGCACTAATCCTTTCAGGTTGTCCTTTCAGAAACATTCATTTTTACCTTTAAGTTTTTAGGTTTAATTATCAAAAATCCGAAATGCACGTATTATTAAGTTAAACAAAGGACCAAATTTTAAAATCGTCCATTTAGTGGACGATTTTAAAATTTGGTTACAAAAGGTATATTCATTCATATTTGAAATTCATAACCCTTGAAGTTTAAAACACTGCGGAGCTTGTGACTTCTTAGAGTATTATTTTGCAAATGTATTTAAGTATTAAATAAAATATTTATTTAAGGTATTTTTTAATTTTATTTACAAAATCATACATATAAACTTTCGTGGTAACATCATATTATTATGTTATATGAAGATCCAAGTAAGACATAAATTCTTTTTTTAAGTAATACTTTTATTTGTTTTAATTGTTACGTGGCTTGCACTGTAAAACCACTTGGAGCAAAAAGTATTGAAAATAACATTTTACTCTTTGCCTAGAAGACAAACAAAAGTAGAACAGAATTATTTTTAGGCTAGAAACTTTCTCAGGGTAATGCAAAACAACACACCAAAGTTTAATCAAAAACAGATTATTATTTCGAAACGTTCATATAAAAAACTAGCGACCCGCCCCGGTTTCGCACGGGTACAATGTATTATACATATAAACCGTCCTCTTGAATCACTCTATCTAGTAAAAAAACCGCATCAAGATCCGTTGCGTAGTTTTAAAGATCTAAACATACATGGGGACAGACAGACAGCGGGACGACTTTTGACGACTTACACAATTTGTTTTTGAGTAATTTTACCATCGTATAATTATCGTAAAGTTATAATTGACAAATATCTTATCCTTTAAACGAGCAATTCTTGTATATATATATATATATATATATATATATATATATATATATATATATATATATATATATATATATATATATATATATAATGAAGAAATATATATATATATCATATATATATATCAATCATTTCAGCCTGTTTGAGTCCACTGCTGAACATAGGCCTCCCCCATTGACTGCCATGAAGTACGATCCTGAGCCACCTGCATCCATCGACTTCCCGCACATTTGCACAGGTCGTCACTCCATCTAGTGGGGGGTCGTCCTACACTGCGATGGCCAGTACGAGGCTGCCACTCGAGAACCTTTCTTCGCCAACGGCTATCGGTTCTACGAGCTATTTGGCCGGCCTATCGCCACTTCAGCTTGCTAATCCTCTGAGATATTTCGGTTATCTTAGTTCTACTGCGGATGTCTTCGTTACGAACTCTATCACGCAGAGAAATACCGAGCATAGCCCGCTCCATGGCTCGCTGAGCGACTTTGAGCTTCCTCATACGGCCAGCAGTGAAGGACCACGTCTCGGTTCCGTAGGTCATCACTGGCAACACACATTGAATGAAGACTTTAGTCTTCAAACATTGAGGTATATTTCCCGAACGCTGCCCATCCGAGTTGAATTCGCCGATTGACCTCTGCGTCGAAGTTGGACTTACCTAGCCGGACTAACTGTCCTAGGTAAACGTACTCGTCAACAACTTCGAGCTCAGTGCTCCCAACAACAACCGGTATAGGCGTGACATGGACATTAGACATGATCTTCGTCTTGTCCATGTTCATCTTAAGGCCCACCTGCTGGGAGACACTGTTGAGGTCATTGAGCATAGCACCCAGGTCCTCCAGCGATTCTGCCATGATGACTATATCGTCGGCAAATCGAAGGTGGGTGATGTATTCGCCATTGATGTTAATACCTCGTCCTTTCCAGTCCAGAAGCTTGAAAACGTCTTCCAACGCAGCGGTGAAGAGTTTCGGGGATATGACATCACCCTGTCTTACACCCTTCTGCAGTTGGATAGGTTTTGTACTACTGGACTGTACTTGGACGGACATCGTAGCCTTATTATACAAACACCGCAGAACTTCGATATACCGACAGTCAATTTGGCATTGCTGAAGAGCCTGGAAAACCGCCCAAATTTCGACAGAATCGAAGGCTTTCTCATAGTCCACATACGCTAGGCACAAAGGCAGATTATACTCTTCGGTTTTCTGTATAATCTGCCGCAAGGTGTGTATGTGGTCTATGGTACTGAAGCCTTTTCGGAATCCGGCTTGTTCGGGAGGCTGGAAGTTGTCGAGTCTGGAAGCGAGACGATTCAATATCACTCTTGAGAACAGCACATAGACGCGGCTCAGAAGGGATATCGGTCTATAGTTCTTCAAGAGAGCGTTATCGCCTTTCTTGAAGAACAGCACCACCACACTTCTGCTCCACCCCTCTGGTGTAGCACCACCCTGAAGGACGGAATTAAAGAGCCTACAAGTACCGGTTCTCCACCCGCTGTCAGAAGCTCTGCTGTAACTCCGTCCTCTCCCGATGCTTTGCCATTCTTAAGATGGTCAAGAGCCATTCTAATCTCGCTCAGACTGACGTCCGGGATATTCTCGGAATAGTGTCGGACAAGCTTTGCTCTTGAGTCGTTACTCACACATGTGTATGGTTCCAACGACGATGTGTACAGCTGTCCATAGAACCTCTCAATCTCACTCAAAACCTCTGGTCTACTGGAGATGATAGCCCCGCTGTCAGTCTTCAACTTAGTTGGCTTTGTCCGATAGACAGATCTCTGGCGAAGACTTTTGAGCCTAGGTTCCGCTCTATAGCTCCCTCAATACGGGCTGTATTGAAGTTGCGTAAGTCTCGCCGCATGTATTTGGAGATCTGCCTATTAAGCCGCCTGTAGTCTGACATGTCAGTTAAAGACTGCAGCCGCATCTCACGTCTTTTTCCCAAGAGGTTAAGAGTGTGATCAGAGAGTTTTTGGGTTCTATTTGTCCGGCGGACCTTATAAAATTTAAGGCCCACGGCATGGACAGTTTCCACGAGCTTAGCGTTAATATCGTCCACCGTGTTGCAATTTTCTAGGCATTGGAAGCGATTATGTAGCTCGAGATGAAAGCTTTCGGAGTTCTGGATATGGGCACGAGATGGTCGGAGTGTAGACTTCATTAGACGAGATCTTTCCAGCCTGATGTTAATATTCAATGTGCCTCTCACCAACCGGTGATCACTGCCGGTCTTCACCCTTGTGATCACAGAGACATCATTGAATATTTGCCGTTTGTTCGTCATAATGAAGTCTATCTCGTTTTTTACAGAACCATCGGGGCCAGTCCAGGTCCACTTTCTGTGGGGCTGCTTTTTGAAGAAGGAGTTCATCATAAAGAGTCCCTCCTTCTCCATAAAGTCAGCCAGCTGCTGCCCCCTTGGGTTCCGTTGCCCTATTCCAAAACTACCCACTCTCAGCTCAT